ATTATCATCATTATCAGCATCATGATCATCATCGTGGTCATCATCATGGTCATCACCGTCATCATCATCATCATCATCATCATCATCATCAGCATCATCATCATCATCATCATCATCATCATCATCAATCATCCTGCCGTCGCACTGCTGGCGACCCTGTGCCAATGACATGCTTTGCAACTATCAACTTCAGCATTGTAGACAATTCTGGGCCTAGACATTCTAGCAGGCTCGCAGCACTGGTCGTAGTGGTAATGTTGGGAGAGTTGCTTTTATATCTCCAGTACTCAACACCCGCGACTGCTACTTTCACTCGGTATGCCATTAGTGCAATGCGGCGCTATTAGTCTGAAGAGTGCAAACGGGAGCACCTGCAGAAGCAGTGCAAGCAGCATCGGTGCCACCACCACAGAAAGCTCATCAGTATCTTGCTACTGCAAGAAACAGCAGCTGTTGTTGTAGTAGAATCGTCATGAGCCAAACTTACCCAAAAGCTGGATAATTTGGCAACAGCTGACGGCTGCCATAACTGTTATAGGACGAGTTCCCTTCCAAACCACGCCGCTGCACGCCCTGAATCCTGAAGTTAGCACCAGCAGGAATGGCTACACCAAACTCGTAGGAAGAGCAGATAGGAAAGTCTGGGCAATGAGATGCTAGGTGTCTAGATGCATTCAGGTATGTATGTTGAGATAAATACAGATATAGATACAGGTGTAGATGTAGATAAGCAGGTAGAGAGAGAGAGAGAGAGAGGGAGTGTGAGAAGGGATTAAACAAGAGTCATGATCAGTAGGCCCAGAAGGAGGAAACCACTGCTAGTGTCTCAGCAATAGGGACAAGGAGTAGGATGAAAATGGTGGCGGTGAGGCGGTGGTGAGCCTTTAAAGGAGACCCGATTTATAGAACCGCAGAATACCCCCTTTAAAGGTAGCCACATTAGTAGAACCCTCCACACCTTGAATCCTTTCGTTCCTAAGCCCCTCCAAACCCCCCAAGTTCCTCCTGGTCCCCTGGCGCCCTAAACCCTAAACCCT